AATTCAGCTCAAATAACTGATAGTGGCGCCAGATTTAACACCTTTCGTGCTCTCTAACAAAATGCAACTTGCACTTGCAAGTGCAGCGCAAGTTGCAGATCAGAAGATAAAGTGTGTAAAAGATTCGTGTGTAAGTTGAAAAAGAGAATAGAATTTTGCTACTCTGTTTTTGCTGTTCTTATTACCTTTTCAACTGGTAGTTGTATAACGAAATAGTAAGATGATTTTGGCTCTTTAGTTATACTTAGACGAGAAAAAAATAAAATAAAAGGCACCCATGTTTGTGGAGATGTTAAAGCAAATTGACTAGCCAAATGTATTCATCAGAATTTAATTAATTACACACAAAACTTTTAGATAAATTTTCTGGTAACCATGCTTTGACATCACAATGCAGCAGAACGGCTTCTCTATGTGGCTTCATTGACTTTGGTTATCAGCTAATGTGGAGATGTCCTAGTAAATATAGTGCTAATATGGACAAAAAGATTTTCTCAACTCAATCATTTCAATTGTTTTAAAACAAATTTAATTGGATTATAGGGTCCTCCCACTTCATCTTGCTCACTTTGGTGGACACCCCATCACCAAATCAATTGATTATATAATTGTAACACTAACCCTAGAGCATTCCAATAAAGCTACACTCTTCTCCATCCTCTCCCACGAATTATACAAAAACTCTAATCTCTATCTAGGTAAGTAAACATTAGTTCTTTTGATATGTAAAGTGTAGTCTCTTTATTTCATTTGCATAAACTTGAATTTTGTGTGCTTTTGAAATAACACAGTGTTAAAAGACAATTAAATCAGTGCAAGAATGAGGGTTCTAGTGGTTGCTTTAATCCTTATGACAGTGAGCTCTTGCTTGGCTACAAACAGAAGGATTTTATTGGATGTCAGTGATCAGCAAGCAGTACGGTACAGCCGAGTATTGATCGAGGATGAGAATAATGTGAAAGTTGAGGATTCACCCGACGATGTGAATGAAACCACAATTGCCCTAGGCCAGATTTTAATCAGACAATTGCAATGGCACTGGATCAAGGAAGGGCGGGCTAAAACTTGTAAATATTATGTTATAGTATAGTTTTACGTTCGTTAAATATAGTTTGTGAGGTTTGAATAACCAATCTTGTATGATATTACTTCATGTTTAACAAGTGTTCTGGATGTAGAATCAAGAGCCAAGACCACATGTATAGCTTGTATGTACCTTATTGTATAATAATTTAGCGTGTTATTAATATGTAATGTTATGTACTGTTTTACAACTAAATTCCAACGACTATCACACAGAATTATGCATGGCTGCATGATAAAGAAGCATGAACTATATTAAGAACTAATGGAAAGTAAAGCTATGATTTGAACTTCCATTTTATGCTACTAAATTTTGGACAAATCTGTAGTGTGATCTGAACGAAATAGAGACAACAACAGGAACAAAATATAATAGAAAACAAATCAAAACAGTAAACAAGAAAATAATACGCACGATTACCGGTTCACCCAATGTGAGCTACGTCCAGCTGAGTTAATATTATTGCAATATGCCTTACCTCTCGTTTACAATGAATGAATTGCTCACACACTCATAATAAGAGAAAAGTATGTTTATATACTGGGTTAAGATATAACCTATGTTACAAGGATTCATATTCCTAAGCCCAACCCAAAAAGGAATTAGTAACTTAAAAGAAATCCTACAGCGGTTATACATAGAAAAGCCCAAAACCCCCTACGGGCAGCGAGGACCCTCGAGTGAGTCTCCGTTACCGATTAATGCTGAAGTAGTCGACAACTCCAACAGATCTTCTATCCTTGATGCAATATGTTCTCATAAAAGAATAACAAAAAGAGTGAATTCGAATTGCAATGGTATACAAAGTTTAGAATTAAAGTCGAATTTTAAAAGAAACATCAAATCGATAATTTGTGTAAAGTTGTCTTGTGAATTTCATTGACTCATTCTAATTAACTTATTAGAAGCTATATAAATAGCTATACATTATCTCTTGCATATCTACGAATATCATTGTAATTGCAATATAACTCTTATAACCTCATGAGCCAAAATTGTGAAGCAATATCTTATTAACTTATTATTATTATCTATCTATCAATAAGTTTATTTCATATATAGTTTAATTCATTAAGAAACTTAAAGTTATTTCAGTTATAATTTTACCATATAATATGACTAATATACAGTACAAATATTAACCATGCAGCCCAGAAACCGATTCAATCTCTGGCCATATTGGCATGGAAATATATTCTATCAGGCCCCACTAATATTTTATATCATGGGCTTGGAACGAAGTTCGGATCGTGATCAACCTGAAAAAGGAGAACAGTTGGCTGCCCAACAGCCCGATGCACCAGTTTGGAGTTGAATATTGAATAAAGGGATGATATCATTCTTAGGGCACAAGTTCTTCAAAACAACCCTTAGAGGACAAAAGTTTCATAAACAACATTTATGATTTAACAGATACTTGTTCGGGCTTGGAACCAAGTTTAGGCTCAAAATCAACCTGGAAAAGGGGAACAGTTGGCTGGCCCAACAGCCCGATTTACCAATTTGGAATAGACAAAATGTGGGAGTTGAATATAATTTCCCTTGGAATATTTTGATAGAATATATATCCAACGTTCATAATAATCATCGGAAACTATATACCATACATATTGAATCCATTGAGGGAAATCATACTTATATGTAGCTACATCTATTATATCAATTAACTTATTGTACTAAGGGGGCATTTGGTCGGAGATAATGGAAGATTACTCGGGTTATGTCATCTTATATTACTTGATTACCATGTTTGGTTGTCAAGTAATATAAGATTCTGATAATCTTGTATTATCAATAGTTGTTGCTGTTGGTAATATTGGAGGTAATCTGATTACCTCCATTTTCTTATGTATTATAAGATTATCTTGATAATCTTATTTTTGTTACAATTCAATCCCTTGTTAATAAAAATTTTGGACAATAATGTCCTTGTTTTAAAATAAATTTACATTAATATACTATTTCAATTTTACCCTTGTTTAATTAAGTTTTTGGATAATAATGTCTTTATATTTAAAACAAATTATAGACCACCACTGCCATCCAGCCACCACCGTCGACAGCGGGCCAACAACCACAAACAGTCATCGGAAAGTCGTCGAAGTCCCTAAAAATGACCGAGATTCATTGGGAGGCTTCGATATGGCCGTTTCCAGCCATATTGATGGCCGAAAATAGACATATCAGGCCAGATCTATTTTTGGACGATAATGGCCAGGGATCTAGCCTGATATGGCCATTTTTGGCCATCAATATGCTCAAAAATGACCATATCAGAGCCTTGTGGTCACGGGGAGTTACTCACAACGACTTTCGGAGACTTTCGAATGTGGTTTGCCGTGGCGGTAGGCGGCGGCAGGGGGTGAGGGGTGGGGGTAATTTTGTCATAAATTAAAGTTTTATATAAGCGGGGGTGTTTTAGCTAAATTTGGAATATTGGGGGTTAAAAAATATTCAAAAATTAATAATAAAAGTAATATTATATTAATAAAAGGCAATTTAATAATTTAAATAACATATCCATCGATTTATTCCCCCTAACCAAACATATTAATATAACATACCCACCAACCAACCAAACACATTTTCTTAAAGATTCTCAATAATCTTCAGGGGGCGTTTAGTTCAAAAAATGTTGGATTACTGAGAATCTTGGATTACTAGAAAGTTAGATTACCTTAAGGGGGCGTTTGGTTGAGGGTTATGTGGGATTATTAGGGTTATGTCATCTTATATTACTTGATTACCATATTTGGTTGCCAAGTAATATAAGATACCAGTAATCTTCAAATACCAATAGTAACCACTATTGGTAATATCGGAGGTAATCTGATTACCTCAATTTTTTTAGGTATTCTGAGATTACCAGGGTTATCTTTTTTTATTACAATTTTATCCCTTATTAATAAAAAAATTTGGACAATAATAGCCCTACTTTAAAACAAATTTACATTAATATCCTATTTCAATTTTACCCTTGTTTAATTAAAATTTTGGACAATAATGCCCTTATATTTAAAATAATTTACAGACCACCATTGCCACCCAGCCACCACTGCCGACAACGAACCAACCACCACGGACCGTCGCCGAAAAATCACCGGAGTCCTTGAAAAAAAATGAGATTCGGTGGGAGGCTTTGGGAGGCTTCGATATGGCCGTTTCCGGCCATATCAGGCTAGAAATGGCCAAATCTCGTCCAGATCCAGGGATCTGGCCGTTAACGGCCATATCGAAGCCTCTTGGTCACGGTGAGCTACTCACGAGGACTTTCCGAGACTTTCGACAGTGGTTTGCGGTGGCAGCAAGTGGCGACAGGAGGTGGGGGTGATTTCATCATAAATTAAAGTTTTATATAAGCGAGGGTGTTTTAGCTAAATCTGAAATATTAGGAGTTAAAAAAAATTATTCAAAAATTAATAATAAAAATAATATTATATTAGTATTTAAAATAAGGGACAATTTAGTAATTTAAATAACATACCCACTAATTTATTTCCCATAACCAAACATATTAATCTAACATACACACCAACTAACTAAACACATTTTCCTAAAAATTCCCAATAATCTTTCAAAGTAATCTATCTTTTCAATAATTCAACATTCTCAGTAATCTAACATTCTTGAACTAAACGTCCCCTAAAGATTACTAAAAATCTTTAAAAAAATGAGTTTGATTAATTAGTAAGTATGTTATATTAATACGTTAGATTGAAAAGAATAAATTAATAAATAATATAAGATTCCAATATTCCAAATTCCCTTAACCAATCGCACTCTTAAAACTTAGGTTTTGTCCTAAAATTTTGTTTGAAATACTATTTTATTACTTATAGAGTCATTACTGTTTCTCTCCCTACAATGCAAGATTGCTCTTAAATTTCTTTTAAAGATGAAAAAGAGAAAAAGCAAGTACTAGTAAATGGTAGCAAATCCTTCATTCATCATTTAGCATAATAGATTTCAATATGATGTCAGGTGACTTGCTACCATGGATATTAATTAAAGGATTCTACTACTTAATTATATCCCATCAATATTTTCTTGCCAATACATGAGACGTCATGGCATAAAATGGAGGAAACAATTCTTCTCCCTCTTATTTGCTCCGCTTTCATTGAAGACAAATATAAACATTCAATCGATCAACCCACAAAATCATGAATAATATGACCCCCTAGTTGCCGCCTAAGCTCATCTTCCTGTTGATGTGAACTTTCCACGCCGTGCCTGAGACCTAGTGTTAGTGACACCGCGCCAAGTCCCCCAACCTCCATCCCACTTCTGTGGTATGGTATAAAACTCAGTAATGACCTGTCCATGCCCGTAGTAACTTGACAATCGATTCTTGATCGCTTCTCCTGGTTCCACTGCTCTGCGCTAAGCCCATCTTCATTGCCTACCAAGGTACCAATGCCCGAGAAATCCAATTGTTCATCACACATTGCACTTATCCCTACCTTGTTCATTTCTTCATCACCATTATTAGACCTGCCAGTACCATCGCTAGCAGATTGCCCATCACTTCTCTTGGGGTTTAAGCTGGTTCCAGCCAAGCCTTTTGTTTCAAGCATGTGTATTTCTTCAACCATTGGCTTCCAAACGCGTACTCTGGCATTTATAAACCAGTTTGAAACCTGCATTATTAACTGATTATTCAAACTATTATCACAAAATCAAACATTGCAACATGACCATGCTCCCATCTATACCTCACAAAATCATGTTATTGCCAAACTTAAATTCAATAGTGACAATGACATTATACATGTCTTTACATTCAACATAAAGAGACCTCTAGAATGAAGACAATAATTTCTTTGACATCAGAAGGCTTAACAAATTAATCAACATACAGTGGCGGGAAAACAGAGTAGAATTATTGCCCAACATGCTTTGCCACCAACGAAACTTTGATTAAATCACCCGAGTGTTTAGTTACGACGCTTAGAACTAATAATTCAGTAACATACTAAGGAGCTGAACCTACCTGGTTGCGAGATAGGCCAGTCTGAGTGGCTAACATGTGCTTATCTGTGTCCGTAGGGTACCTAGAAAGAAAAAAGTTGACACAGGAGAAAAAATCACACCAAACTACAAAGTTTCTACAGAGAGTGGGTGTGAGAGAGAAAAGATACTCACGGATGGAGAAAATGTTCAAACAACCAAGCTCTAAGAATCGCCACTGAACGTTCTGGGAGGCCTCTCTGGGGCCGCCAGACGTGTTGTTGGGGTTCAAGGAAGCCCATGTTGCTCCCACCCAGTTTATGTTTTTGAGAACTTTGGTCCATGTACTTTAGCCTTGATGTGTTTGTATCACCTTTACTAGTACTAGTAAAGGTAACCGAAGACAGCAAGTCCTCGCCTAAGGCTTTTGTTACATGCTTAAGCTGATTAGAGATCACCATCTTTAGGCACCGAAAGTTCTTCGAAATTGATTTGAGAGCCAAGGAAACATAAGGGGTAGCAGCACTAAGTCCGGCAACTGATTCAAAAGATGAAACCACCATTTCCATCTGCTGGTGATATAACTTGTACCTTTTGCATACCTTTCAGTTGGCACAGATAAGAAGAGTTACCAAGAAGGTTATGTAAATAAGCAAATAACCCAATGCAAAAATACACTTATGCTCTAAAGAACAAACTTTTAACAATCTCTAAAAAGAAATCATCATGGCAAAATTTACTGAGAGGAGGTTGGTGGGACAAAAGCAACACCAATAATTCTTCAATAAAGCACCAAATTTGGAAAACTAACAGTGATTTAGATAGCAAAATAAGTATTATGTCGGCAGATATACAGGCGATTCTTTCCACCCACCGATGATGGGACCTTCATCCATTTTGAGAAGACAAATTATTGGGTATTAAAATTCAAAAAAGTGAATTTGAAAGAAGTGGTGTGCACTGTTAATCAAAATCCATCATCATACACAATCATACAGAGGAAGCAACTCCTAGACATATTATTTTTATTGATAGAATACCTTTTAACTTTATGAGAAGTCCAAATTAAGGCAGTAGGGCCAACAGAACCCTGTTCAGATGTCCTGTCTTAAACTACATTTCAACTTCAAATTTAATCAATAATTTATTTCACTTTTCAAATCCATTAAATCATTGAAGTTTAGATTAATAATCATGTCACCTTCTTTGTCATGAATAATGTTCCTCTAATGATTTCTGTCATAAAATTATGCAAAACTTAATTGAATTCTCACAAATTTTTCATTGAGCTGCATAGAAATTAATTCCAGAGTGGAATTTCTTACTTGAAAGAATTCACTTCAAAGCAAGAGAACATAGCAATATATTAATATTATACACCCCAGCAGTTGAAAAATGAACTTCATCATAACGGAATGACATCACAACTGTTAAAAACTTCAATTGACATGATATCAAAACAAAGAGTTAAAAATATAAATAAGCAAATAAAGAATGCAAAGAAAGAAACATGAAAATTATTAAAGACTGCTAATTCATATTCCCATATAGGAACCTTACGAATGAAGTTACTGAGAGCAATGGAAGCAAAGGCAAAGAGTGTCAGTAGTATAGCATGAGCATGTTATTCTCTAGTCGGCATCACAATTTCACCGATACAAAAAAGTATTACCGTGTAACTCGTATACATGAGAAGATATAATCAGGTAGGAGAATTAACATCCTCAAATTAATCATAAAGCAGTTTTTAGCATTGAGAAACTGCAACAACACATCAAATTTGAAAAAATAGGAAATATACTAGAAATACCATATAGTCAAAACTCAAAACTTCACATTGGTAACAGATCTGTAATTTATTTAGAGTCATTCTCATAACGGCCATGAAATAAAATGACATGAGGAATTTTTTTCAAGAAATTCATTGTTATAGATCAGTCAGTATAATAGTATACTACCAAATTCAAATATTTAAAGTTCTTGTTTTCGAAACTTTTAACCCACCTTCTAGAGGTAAGCGGGGGTGAGAACATAATGTTGAAGGAATTGAGTCTTGGCAATATATTCATCCAGTAAGTAAAAGGTCTGACCAGCAATTGGTCTTGTCTCGCACAATAACTAATTAATAAGATCCTACTTTCCGCCCAAGGTTTTGATCAAAACAAAAAAGTTGCTGAGATAACATCTTTTATAACACATCTAATGTTAGCAATTGTCCAGTCGCATGGCCTTGTCATAGCCTACATTTAAAGTTGAACTAGGTAAGTAGTAAGCATGGATTCTTCTAAGGCCATTGAACTCTTGTGAAGAGAATCAATAAGAACTCAAAATACACTGCATGAAGCTCAAGATATCCATTTATTTTTAAAATTAAATCCTCGAGATATCTATCAACAACAGATTATATTTGTACAGTCCTTTCTATAACCATAGTCTGAACACCCCTTCCTTCTCTCTCTATATTCCTCCCTGTAAATTCTATTCTTAAAAAATTTTAAACTTTGATTGTCAATGCTGAGCCATAAGAAATCTCTCTGTGTTCACCAGAACTTATTAGAGGAATGCAGGTGAAACTGAACAGACTTCATCTTCCACCACACCTCAATTCATTGTGCTTATCAGATCAGTTTGGCAAATGTAGGTTAGGCCTGCCTAATTAATTATGAAAAGAATGGATTCGGACATGCAAACAAAACATATACCATTGAGAACAAGAAACTAACGGTACTTTCAAATTCCAAGTAGCAATTAAGTCATGCACCTTGTTGATTTGGCAATTTACTTTTTTGAAAGCTTTTGGTACAAGTTACAAACAATCAATAAATTCATGCCATCGAATATATTCAATTTAAAAAATATACATGCATGACAGATAAAGAGTGAAAATCATAGATGCATAACATGAATACACGGTATGTCACACCAAGATGTGATACATCTGCCGTATTATAGACTACATTTCTTTATTATGTTAATCAGATTATTTCCAAACAATTGCCTTTTATGTAATCACATATGCATATAGGATATTAATTGATCATAAGAGAAAATAGAACCAACCTCTTCCTGCAGAGATACGAGTCTTGCCTTCTTTTGTTGGTATTCAGGCCTGTAAGATTCACATGAACTGCTGCCAACTCCATCATCACAACTCATTTGATTCGAACTGTAAAATGTAGAGGATGGTATAACAGAGCTATTACCCTTAGCTCCAACCTCTTTATCAGTAACATCAACAGCATCAACGTCCACTGAAATTGAAGCACTGACCTGATCACCAGAGATTTTCTCAGACACATCACATGTGTTGGCAAGTTTTGAGCCAGTTAAATTACAAAATTCATCCAAGAGCTCTTGAGCTGGCTTTAAGAATCTTGAACCTTTCAAAATAGTTGCATATCCAGTGAAAGGTCCAAGAGGACCAGTACCTCGCTGAACATTGGAATTAGATGTCCCCACTAATTCCGGAAGAGATTTTCCGACACCTTTGCTAGAACTAGATGGCTTTGGTATTGAGTTAAGATAATCAAACTTGGCAACTTTAATCTCCTCAGGTTCCTTGAAAAGATCCGTCTTCGAGTGTAAACCTTGAGACTCAAATCCCTCTCCAAAATGGTCTATATGCATTTTCGATGGCGGATTTGATGAAAGTGATAGAGATAGACCCTGTGTAGTTGCTTCACTTGCAACATTGTTCAACTCTATGTCACTTCTCCTTGCAATGAAGCCACATTCGGAATTCCACGGGTGACAACCCTGTACTGGTCTATTGGTCCATGTATTGGCATTAGTATAACGAAAAGCATTTGATTGATTTCCGAAATTCGGAAGAAGCACAAGTTCATTACTGGAATCCGAACCAGTCCAAGTGGCATGGCCAGTTTCTCTAGCATCATGCTGAACAAGAGAAGCCACTGCTAATCCCTCATGAGTTCCAATTGAAGCCAAAGTAACAACATCCTGAATACTATTTTGGAATAGTGGAGTAGCATAATGCATGTCCCCACATTGTTGTTTTTCCCTATCTTGACAAGAAATTTCACTTGCTGGATTGGTTACTGTAGAGTGAAGATTTTGATACTCATTGAAACTATTAGGCTTAAAATATTTTCTGGATGCAGGAACATCACTCACTTTCACATTATTTGACAAGACTTCCCCAACAAGCATTTCATTTTGATTGATTTCCCTACCTGCCGATCCACTTGCATAATTCATCATCCAATCAGAGTTTGTCTGTGACACAAGACTTTTCCAATTGCTACTACTACAACCCTGAAAATCACCACCATCACCAATCGCTCTCGATGAAGCATTAAATTGGGATGAGATTGTGAGAGGCAAACTATGGAATAAATTACCCCAGCCGCCATATAGGCCTATTGTTGGTTGAGCTACACCTAACTCTTGCTGAATTGCATCTCTTTGGCCTGACAAAACATGGAATTTGTAGCGAAATTTATCATCCAGAGGAAACAAGAGTGGGGTCAACAGCAAATTCGCACTTCTCACATTACGAACTTGAATGAGATCTGGGTTAACTGATGACTGTTCCATGTTTTGAGCGAAGTCCTCTAGGTGCTGACCTGAAGTTGACCATTGTTGAATCCTCAACTTATCGCGCCGGCTTTGCTGTGCAACATGCGATCAGCCCTAAAGTTGCTCATATCCATCTGATAACTTAAACTCCTGGCTTTGTAATGCTCAACGAGCTCAGTAAACTGCAGGCTAATGAACAATAAGAACCAGTATATATTTTAGAGGCCATCGACTTTTGTCATGCGATTTCAAAACACTTTCCTGCAACAAAATCATCTAGACTTCTGAAACAATTTAACTTCCAACGATTATTAAACATAATACTTATGTATCTAACCATTAATAAACACACAACTCAAATTACCCTAACTTGTCCTTCGTGGATATTGAAAGAGAGTGAAAGGGAGCAGTCATATCAACGACAAAAAAGTACATAAAATAACAGAAAATTGAAATGAAACAAAACAGTGGGAGAAGGAGAAAGACATAGCTAATGGGAACGAAAATAAAAGCGTTTTTCTTTCTTTCTAAATAACAGAAGAAAGCGGAAAAAAACTTAGAGTGAAAAACTACTAGAGAGTCAGTAAGACATACCGATGATCTTCGTCGACTTCGCCACCGCTCTTGTACTACTTCACTATAGCTCCTAGATCTAAAACCAAATGAGAAAGAGAAGCAACAAATCGTTAGAGCGAGAGAGAAAAGAAACCGAACAACTCGACACCATGAAAATATACGTCCAGTTTTAAAAATACTTCACGTCAACCACTGAAACCCTAATTCTACAGCTTTTCTTTACCCTCCGCAACAAAGCTATAAAGTGAAAACTTTCACATGATCTAGCTGGTCATAGAGACTCGAGAACAAATTCCGTTTCCGCCCATAAAGGATCCACGAAATGATTTACACAAACCGGTAGTTTTATACACAAAGGGTAAAAGGCCAAAACCAGAAAACAAAGAAGAACAATACTATAATATATGTGATATTAAATTGAATATCAGTTTTACAAGTTTCATTATTCTACGAATACCCAAAAACACTATACAAAGCATAGATAACGTAAACAATATCAAGGAAAGGCTACGCTACATGAATTGAACTTCCAGTGGATCTTCATATATTCTTGAACAAAAACACACAGAAGAGCCATATTTTCACTGACAAAAAGTACAAAAAAAAAAAATCACCTGCAAAAAGTTTGTTTCTGCTTAGATCTCAATTCTGGACCGACCCTTAAGCTGTGTCAATAGAAATATGTCCGGTTATTCCGGTGAAAACCGGTGAGAAAGATAGAGTGAGGTATAGTGAAAAAAAAAAAAAAAAAAAAAAAATGAGTGGAAATAATTGCAAAAGCAATTATCAACCGTTTGCTTTAACGTCTAAGCGCGCTTAGAGTTTTTAAGCAATTCTGTGAAGTTACAGCGTTAGATTTAACGGGGAAAAGTTGCCCGCACTCGTGAATCATCAAGATTGAATTGTGTGTCCGGTGTCCCCCTCCGTAGGGTCCTTGGCTCCTTTGGACCGAAAATTTCTTTGCTTTATTTCGCTGGTGAAATATGAAAGCTACAGATGAGTCTGTTAAGTAACACCCTTCATTTATGGCATTAATTACAAAATTACCACTTTTAATGAGTTGGATTTACCGAGTTTACCTTCATTCTTTCCAGTAATTTTCACATAATTACTATAAAATTCCTCGCCCAACAAAATTTTATATTGATTTAATAATATAGTTCTATGCTAGGTATATTGAAGTATTAACATGTAAATATTATTTTATTATTTTTTAAATAATTATTATTTTCCTTATTGTTATACTCCAATAACTTTAGTACTCTTATCACTATGTCATTATCACAATTTAAACATTTTCACCATCATTGGTATCCAAAAATTCAATGCAATCATATTTCTAATTTAAATATTTGTTACATTATTAACATTGTTGTTAATATTAAATATTAAAATATTGTTTTCATGATTTATAATTATTATTGTTGCTATATAACTACGTCACTCCTACTATTAAAATGATGACTCCAATTTTACTAACAACATATAATCAGTAAAATAGTTAATATTATCATTATTATCACATTTACCTTATGCAAAACATGTTAATGGCATCAAACGCAAAACATTACGTAAAAGATTCTGCCTCCTTTTTACTCATGTACTCAAGGCACAGGTTAAAAAGAGCTTTGTCACCTTGTCTAATTATCCTCGTATTATAATTTACTGGAAAGTAATACTACTACTAGGATAGTCACGTTTACCACATGCTTGGGATCACAATTTCTTAAAAAGGAATTTAAATACATTAAAATTAACAATCAAATATTTCATTAAGACTCAAATAAACTCTCATAAAACTTAAAAAGGGTTTAGTTTAGAGAGATAGTTAAGTGTCAAGCGTTTTGTAGAAAGTAAATTTAGTTCGTAATTTTTTTAATATTTTTTAAGTATTTGTACTTTAGAGATAGTTAGTAATCTCTATTTAAGTCAATCGATGGCGAATGAGAACAATATATAGCAAATGCTAATATATAGCGAAGTAGAATTAGTTTTGGTCCTTTTGGATAAAAGAGGGAGCCTGATAGTGATTCGTTCTTTAAGCGCGAGCTAACTGATTGGACGGGGATTATTGGACAGAGTTCACTGTACGGGCTACTGGAGATTACGTCACCTGGGAGTTGTCTCTCGGAGGTCCCGTCTCTGCTCAGCTTTGAATGTCGACCGCCAGATCTTTTGCTTGGAGACATAGATCTGTCACCGATTACCGATAAAAAAGCCGGTCACTCTCTGATCTTGTACCTCTTTTCTTCCCCCCTACAAAAAAAAATTCTCACTCTTAGTTCAGTCATAGTCATTATTACAGCAGTCTCAGGAAACCTGTAAATAATTTCCACCGTTGGATTCCACTACCAATATTCATCCAACGGAGGGGACAGGTGTTGTGATTGTACCGTTTTGTTCTCCCTCTCCGTAAGAACTGAAAGACAAAAGGTTAGTATAACGTGGGTTTCACTTTGTGGTAATTAAAGATAATAATATTGCATGGGTGAGAGAAGGAGTGAATATGAGCCGTTTGATGGAAGAGTGAAGGACATGAATAATGGTGCCACCTGTGACAGTCTAATCAATAAAGAGATGAGAGTAATAGGAGGGGGTGCCATTTTTGGGACTCTGATTATTTCAGATATAGCTAGGCTGATGACCCACGTGGGCCATGGATTCTGTAAATCTGTAATCGGAGAATATCATCAGATTGACAGCATAAAAACCAACAAAAGTAAAATCATAGTTGTATGATCTCCACGTGGCACTTGTTCCATTTCAACAATCATCATCTCATAATATATGATAAAATTCCCCATTTCACCACATTAAACCCTGTTTTTAGTATTTTTTTTTTCTGAAGATTTATTTAATTTCTTCAGGTGGAGACTTAGATGGGTGTTTGTATTGCATGGATAGAGTTTATTTGTACAAAGATGAGAGAAAACCAGTAGATTTGATTGGCTATTTAATGAACTGAAATCAATTCAATTGGTACAAATCTTTTATATTCATTGTTATTTGATATCAATTTATTATACGTCTATTCGACTGTGAATTTCTTTTCTGCAGAGTTTGCAGTTAGGGTTAGCCGGTTAGGCAATTTCATATTATGAACCCTGTGACTTTCTGGGCTCGTGTAATAATTAAGTAACACACTTTTCTTTTCAAACCTCATTTATTTCTTTCAATAGAGATAACTTTTATTAATAAAACTAAAATATTAAAATATTGTTTATAAAATATTTAAATAATAAAAAGATGAAGCGGAATAATGTTGAAGAAAGCAAGCACTGCAAAAGGAACAATTGCAGGGTGAGGAAAGGGCAAAGTCGGTGATGTCATCTTAAAACGTCAGTACAGACTACAGAGAGTCTATTTGTAATAGGGCTTTTAGGCTTTTATTTGGTTTTGGATAGTTCATTAATGGAGGTCACTTCTTCTCGTTTCTTGCACTTGGTTTTTCCATTAATTTACGTAATGCCATTCCCTTTTCGTATTTTACTTAACTACCCTCTACGTCCAAGCACTCCCCACCACCGGCACTGGCCTCCATAAAAGCCAGACTGGCCTGCTATCTGTTTTCATGGAGACAAATATTTAGCATAAAATTGAAAAATCAAATAACTGTTGGTTTAATTTTTGTGTTATATTATGATAAGTCAAAGATACAAATAAAGTTTGATGATTTAATTAGCATGGCTATGATTGGAAGAAGAAAATTTGATAAATATAAAGTTAGGTTAATACATTTGATGAAGCCTTACAGGAACAGGATTTGAAGGGACAAAGCTGGAGAGCAACGTTTTGAATATATGACTTTTGGTTCTGATGATCCCAAAGTACTTCATGTTCATGACAATGATCAAAGGCTGGATTCTCGTCACTTAGGTGGCGTTTATTTCGTAAAATGCATACGGATGAGAATAGAGATGTGTATGGAGATTAGGAAGTGAATGAGAATATATGAAAGGAATAAAATATGATTAGGTTGATTTCTTTTAATAGTGATGGAATAGATTTTTTTTTTTACAACATTACCCTCAACTTTAAATCATTATACCTATACATTATCACACAATTAAATCCATTAAAATATAATTAAACAAAAATAACTCAACAATTTAAAATTGTTTACATAAAATATTTAATTATTATAAATGAAACTAAAATAATATTACTTTTTATTATTTAATAAATTAACATTTTCTTTTTTATTCAATTACAGATAAAAAAATTAAAACCGATCAATCATGATCAACATCCCCGATTAGAGACTAACATCATATTGTCTATGTCTCCATTGGCGCATAAAAATCATCAATAAGTGATCTACCAATCTAGACAGATTTTGGCTACCAAAGATGCTAGAGATAACGTCAACCGTAGGTTATAGTAAATATTGGCCTTGATGTTATTTCCTACATCCTTGGTTGTGGATCTGCTAAATCGACAAATCGTCGACCATCGATTTATCATCTGCTGGCAATGACACCAACAATGTGACGTCGGTTACCAACTAACAAAACATTGACATGTGGTTAACTAGTTGGAAAATTTTGAAGAAAAAAAAATATTTTCTTAAATGAAAAATCATATTTTATATTTTTAAATAAAAATTAATTATTTTTCTATTTGAATTAAAAATAATTTGTATTAATTCATTAGTCATTTTTATTTAATGGTTATTAAATTATCACATAATAATATTTAATTAAAGGACAAAATAGGAATATTTAGCTAAAATAGAGGCAAGAATTTCAATTTCCAGCCATTCCTTGGCCCTGGAATACCAAATAGGAATATTTAGCTAAAATAGGGGCAAGAATTTCAATTTCCAGCCATTCCTTGGCCCTGGAATACCCATTCCTCCCATATTCCCCCAAAGAATTTCAATTTCCAGCCATTCCTTGGCCCTGGAATACCCATTCCTCCCATATTCCCCCAAAATGGTGGAATATGCATTCCATTCCAAAAATTTTGTTTCAAAGTAAACAAGGGAATACCCATTCCCTTGTTTATTCCTTTGACTAATCTGCAAAGTAAAATTGTTATATCTAATCGAATCTTATTCAATTTATAAATTGTAGCTTGTTTTCATGTGTAGGTATATCTAGGGTTAAAATAGGGTGGATAATGGGATGGTGTACTTTGAAGGCAAAAGAGGTTTTATATAACTTCAAAGATTCAATCAAAACCTTATTATATAAATGGGTGATGTTCTACTCCTTCACTTGACCATTCATGTGCATGATGATGATTCTGATATGAAATGAAAGCCGTAAAACGACCGGGCCCGTTTCATTTATTGAATATTTATACATGTTTTAAGTTGTCAAATAAAGCCAAGAAGAAGAAGAAGAGAAGAAGAACCACACAACAAAATTTGAGATGGATCACATCAACAAAATCCTTTTATCAGATCATTGCAAGGGGGGTGGGGGGGGAGGGGGTCGCGTGATTATGAATTATGAAACATACCCACGTTTTGAATTTGTCATTTTGCCCTATTAAGTAAATATATGCACGCTTCAAATCAATGGACTTGTGACTCTGCAATTGCAACCCCACTTTTGGTCCTTTATGGTGATGGCAAAATTACTAGGGTTTGCAGTATTGGTGGGTCATGTGAATGTGAAACTCCATTTGTGGGCTGGGCTGGCATGCGTGAACTTCAATA